CAGGCAGAGGTTTGGATTGGGCTTCATTCGTGTTGATGCTGTCAGGATGATTTCTCTCTCCCTGGGGACCAGCCGGGCTGATGCCAGGAAGGCCAGGGCACCCGGGAGCTGTGACAGCACACCGAGCACAGGCATGCGTGTCACATGCATCCCGGCCTGGTCAGTGCCTCTTACACTCGGTCTCTGGGTCCTGTGGTCTTTGGGGAAATACTGTTCTTAAGTTTTACTCCAGTTCTATAATTAGCTCAAATATTATACCGCCAACCCCAATAGAATGACATTCCCTTTGATTGTTTGCTGGTGGCTGAATTGATGGAAAGCAGAAGTCTGCCATCTGAGCTAATACAGTTTCACAGTCTAAGATGATACAAATGTTGACAATACATATTTACCAAAGGATTCCTCAGGGCCAGGCAGGCAGCATGCTAAGCACTTCATACACATTTTCTTTTGTTTGATTATCATAATAGGAGGTGAGGCTGGAATTATGCCCATTTAACAGATGAGAAAACTGAGACTGCTATGCTCAGTTGGTAAAACCAGTGGCAGATGCCGAAACTGATTTGGCTCAGTGGATAGAGCGTCGGTCTGTGGACTGAAGGGTCCCAGGTTCGATTCCCGTCAGGGGCATGTACCTTGATTGCGGGCGCATCCGGGGTGGGGGGTATGCAGGAGGCAGCTGATTGATGTTTATCTGTCATCGATGTTTCTAACTCTCTATCCCTCTCCCTTCCTCTCTGTAAAAAATCAATAAAATATATTAAAACAAAAAAACAAAAAAACCAATGGCAGAGCTGGGATTTGAACCAGATGGTTGGCCTCTGGGCTTACCCACTGTGCGCTCCAGGGAATTCTTTAAGAGCTATTCTCACCATAAACTCTGATATTGAAATCAATGAAATCTCTCCATCTACTTTGACATTGTCTCCCCACCCCCACCCCCCAAAAGGGATATGATTTCATGCCCTTTTTTTATCCCAAAAAACCTGTTCAAAATATAGGGATGCAGTACTTCCTCCAGAAAAATGATGTCCAAACTGAAGTAGAAGATTAGAGCCTGAGATTACAAACTCTTCGCTGAGTTTGTCTTCTGTGGTCTCTTCTCTGGAAACGGGTGTAGCTTGCACGTTGGTGTTTGTTTGTTTTCCCTTGGAAACAGCACAATGAATCAGTCTGCCTCCTCTGATGGAACTCCCTTGTGATGCTCACTGGCCCGGGTGACAACCTTAAACAGAAGGCGTCAGTGACCTTAGGCTCTGGGACCTGTTTCTCCCAGCGGCACTCCCGGAACCTGCCCGTTTTTAACTTTCATCTTTTTGATCACCTGAGGCCCCACTCCAGAAGAGCGGCATTGAAAGTGTTTGGAAACACAGTTCATTCCCTAAGGCGGCTGCTGAGCCATGAGTAACAGTGTCGAAGCAAGGCCAAAGAAAGAGCTGCTTAATATAGCCCATTACTGAGACCCGCCGGTTGGAGCGACGCGCCCTTTCTTCTGGTTTCCTCCTGGAAGCAGGGGCTGGGAAGGCAGGAAGCAGGGACCTTTCAGAACAAAATTCCGGGTTTTCTTGTGAGGGTTGAGATGTCGCAGAGATAAATCAGTCCGCTTTCAGCTGCTGACTCGGTGCTGCTGGTGTTCAGCAGACATCTGGGCTTGAAGGCTCTGTGGTCTGGCGTTAGAATGGGCAATGCTGTGGAGAAGCAGAGGCCCCTGCACCGAGGCCAGCTGTGTCCCTGGAAGCCAGGTAAGCAGCCCGGGCTCCAGGGAGAAGGAAGGTGGCGGCCTTTGGTGGGAATATTTTGACCCAAAATCAGAGCTAACCTCCTGGGGAAGTACCTTCAGGTCAGAGAGGTTAAAGAAAATTAGCAGCTATTTCTAAGGAATAAATGGCTCTGTCTCAATGCGATCACATGACGCAGTGTAGCACCTGTCTGTTGGTTAAACACTTTTAGATGAAAAAAACAGACCATGTAAATATGTTTACATTCAGGAGTTTGACTCTTTTGTGAGTTTGCTGTAGAGAATGTTATTAATAGCTTTTAAATATATAGACCCTCTCTTCTAAGGGTTCAAAGTACCTTCTGTGAAAGAATCTCATTTATCCAGCCGGCCACCCACGATGTGGGTCAGCGGCATCTAGTGACACCTCCCCTTTGTCTCTGAGGACTGTGCTTTGTCAGTTCTGAGGTGGAGGTGCCCCTGGAGCTGCGGGCCAGGCAGCCCCGTGCCCCGTGCAGTGCTGCCCATTTTGCCCTTCGTTACTCCAGCAGACAGCAGCAGTGGGCAGACCCAGCAGCGTGCCAAACTGTCAGAATGGTTCCCTCAGGACTCCAAGCCCTGGCTCTCTTACCTCCGCATGACACACAACAAGAACAGAAAACCCAGAGCTAGCACTTGACCTGCAGCAAGACAGTTTGCTGCTACTGTGTGGATGTGTGCTGATGTGGGGAAAATAAACTGAAGAAAATTATGGGTTTGTAAATAGTGGTCTTCTGAGGTCAGAGTATGGGTAATTTTTTTAAGGGAAAAATAGATGGGAGGCTAATTGATAAGTTTCAGCCCCTCTGACTTCTCTCTCATTGGCCATTTGTCCAGCCAGGTAGTATGCTGACAGAGGTATTTTTATTTTTATTTTTTATTTTATTGATTTTTTACAGAGAGGAAGAGCGAGGGATAGAGAGTTAGAAACATCAATGAGAGAGAATCATTGACCATCTGCCTCTTGTACACCCCTACTAGGCATGTGCCCACAACCAAGGTACATGCCCTTGACCGGAATCGAACCTGGGACCTTTCAGTCCGAAACCCGATGCTCTACCACTGAGCCAAACCGGTTTCGGCAACAGAGGTATTTTTAGTGGCCCTTGATCAGACCCTTGTTTGGCTAGAACAGTGAGAACACACTGGGGCAAGTTCAGGAACTTTGAATGTGAACTGAGTAGTAGATGGTGTTTGGAACCGTTGCTGATTTAATGATGCACAATAACGGTGATGAGTCATGTAGGAGAATGCTCTTTTCTGCATAGTCATGCTGAAGTATTTAAGAGTGAAGGGTTATGCTGTCTGTAATTTTATTCTAAAATGATTCAGGCCAGTGAATGAATACATACATACACACACACATACTTACAGATAAGCAACATGGGAGAAATTTAGCAAGTGTTAGAATTCAGGTTAATGAATCTATGAAGTTGGTTATATATTTTTTAATGTATTTTACTTTAAAACAAAAAAACAAAAACCAGTGGCTGGCTAGGACAGCATAGCAGCATCCTTCAGGAAAAGGGTCGTGGTCACGGAGGTGGTGTGGACACTTCGTCAGCACCATGTGGGATGGCGCTCTGGCTGCAGGAACAGCACTGGCCCTGATCCAGTAGCACCAGAGTTTGATATATTTACTTACTTTTAGATTACCTCTGGTTTTCCTCAGGAAAATATCTAGGAGTTCAAACATCTTAAAATTTCCGTTGCAGAAGATGGAGTTACAGACAGAATTAAAGAAAGCTTTATGTTTTTTGTTGTTACGATGTTTAGTTGCATTCATTAACTTTAATGAGAGCAGTTGGAGGGCCGCTGTTGATAGTGGTGATTTCAAGCTCCAAGTGACTGGGGGGTCAGAAGAGCAGCTTGTTGCCCCTGATTGCTCAGTCTTCGTGGTCCCGATGCCAGGCGCGTGCCAGTGTCGGGTTTGTTTGCACAGGTCAGACTCTGGGATGGCACTTTGTCTCCCAGCCAAAGTCCATCCCTGCCAGGGACCCACAAACGGGTGTGTCCGTCAAAGTTTATCTGTTTGTAATCGTCTCTAAGGGTTGTTTATATTTTAGAAATTGGATTTTAAAGCAATGTTTGGAAGCAAGATTTAATCCTAGGCACCACCCTGACTCTGGCTCTGACCCTGAGTACATTTCCTCTGTCTACACTCCACGAGGTTATGAATCTCAGCGGATGGCTGACAGCCCCAGGGCCTGCAGCATGGCGTCAGCCTGCTTTAGGGGCAAGTGGACGGCAAGCTGAGCACGTCCTACTGTGCATTTGCTCCGGGAAGCTGGACGCAAGGCTGCCCTGACTTCTGCTCAGTGGCCCTATGACTCATTGACCCAGACGCCTCAGAAGACACACTCTGTCAATCTCTCTCTCTCTCTCTCAGAGATAATTTGAAAGTTGCTTACAGTGGTCATTTTGTCTTTGGGGACTACAAAGGCAGAGAAGTTTCTGGGAATTAAAAATTGCAGCAGTAATTGCTAATTGAATTGTTATCTCCTTCAGAAATCCCAGCAGCTCTGGGCCATACCAGCCTGTTACTAAATAGAAATGCTAAATGATTTGCATGTTTGTACACAGTTGGGTGTGAGCTAACCAAATTAACACCCTCCGTGAAGAGCTGACTATGCAAAGTGCCATTCCCAGGCGGAGCTGACAGGTCTGCAGGAGCTTGGCGGGGAGAGGTGGGGTAGGGTGGGGTGGACTGTCAGAGGCAAGATTTGAAGGATTTCCATGTGCTCCTGGGACCTGGTGCTATGAGGGCCGTTTTACGACGGGTTGGGTTCCAGTCGGCAGCGGTGTTGAGACTTGCCTCTGCAGGCTGGGTGGTGAGGAAGCCTCTGGGGCTGCTGGGCGCTGTGTGCCAGGTAATTAATACGAAGGCTTTCTGGCCCAAGCTGAAGCTGCCCCCTCCCCCCAGCCCCAACCTAGTTTCTGGTCTTCATCCATTGCCATGGGCCGCGGCGGTGTCTGTATCCACCTCAGGCCGCACCCCAGAGCGTGCACGGCTGGTTGCTGCCCTCCGGCCGCCTGGCTCAGTGCCTTCCACCCGTGTCCCGGTCTCTGCATAAGATTAATAATAACACATCCCTCCAAGCACCCTTGCAAGAATTAAATGAGATCATTCGTGTAAAGGGGTCATAGCCTTTAACATTCAGTAAGCGCTCCGTGATTAATAGTAACTGGTAGCATGCATCCCAACTAGCAGTGTGCATTTCATTAACTCCGCTTCCTCCCTCAGTTGAAGGGAACACATGCCAGATGATCTCAGAGGTGTCTTTGCAGCCGGTGAATCAGTGCCAGCAGCTGTGGCCCTGCCACTCGTATCTGTGTGCGCCCCAGGTGTCAGGACCTGCAGAAGGCGTCATTCTGTTGAACACCATGGTCACGGGGGTTTTTACAGTGAATTTCTTTGAAAACGGTTATTACAGGATCAGACATAATGGAGCTGTTCCTAGTGAGCTAAAATGTTAAACTAACCAGGACGGACGATCCACGTTCCCATTCTGAGTCCAGAGGTGGTGAATGTTGTTTTCCCCACAGTTACATAGGGGCGGAGCATGGCCTCTGGAGCCCGCTGGCCATGGTGGAGTCCTTGCTCCTCTGTGTTCTGATTGGCTCGTCTTGGGCAGGTTACTTCACTTCTGGGCCTTAGTTTCCTCATCTGCATACAGTATCTCATGGGGTGGCATCAAGTGCTTAAAACAGTGCCTGGCACGAAGTAAGTGCTCAGTAAGTGTTTGTTATTGTTGGTGCTCTTAGGTTAAATACAGAGAAATTGCATTTTATTTTAGTTGTAAAAATGTGCCGAAACCAGTTTGGCTCAGCGGTAGAGCGTCGGTCTGCGGACTGAAGGGTCCCGGGTTTGATTCCGGTCAAGGGCATATACCTTGGTTGCAGGCACATCCCCGGTAGGGGGTATGCAAGAGGCAGCTAGTCGATGTTTCTCTCTCATCAACATTTCTAGCTTTCTATCTCTCTCCCTTCCTCTCTGTAAAAAAAGCAATAAAATATATATTTTAAAAAATGTTACATGAGAGAAATATTTTGAAAATATGGAGATAATGCAAAGAAGAAAATGCATGTTGAGTGTCTGAATCTAAAGAACCTAAAACGGAGTGAGCAGAAGATTAGCTTGGGTGTGCACCGTCTCCAGAGCATTGCACATGTATGCATGTTTCATGTTGCCGTATCATGTGCAAATTGTTTCTTTGATTCCGTGCCTCTGTGTGGTCTTCATAGCTACTGTGAAGACTGTGACAACCCTCATGCTGGTGTTCCATGCGTATTAAGTCACTCACCTGCTGCTGGCTATTGGATCTATTTCCCCTGTTTGCTGTTGTAGGGAAGGCAACAATGCACAGCTTTATTCATATACTAGAGGCCTGATTCACGCAGGCTCGGCTTCATCCGGAAGGTCATCCAGAAGGATGTCTGGAAGGTCGTTTGGCTGTCGGTCTAATTAGCTTATTACGCTTTTATTATTATAGATATTTGTGATTCCACTGGATGATGCCTTAGGACAGTGGTCGGCAAAGTCATTAATCAACAGCCAGATATCAACAGGACAACGATTGAAATTTCTTTTGAGAACCAAATTTTTTAAACTTAAACTTCTTCTAACGCCACTTCTTCAAAATAGACTCGCCCAGGCCGTGGTATTTTGTGGAAGAGCCACACTCAAGAAGCCAAAGAGCCACATGTAGCTCGCGAGCCGCGGTTTGCCGACCACTGCCTTAGGACAAGTTCCCAGGACATTTTCATGAGTGATGGTTAAACCGTTAGCCATAATCACATCGGCGTTAAGTATTATCATTTTGAAATTGTTTCTCTTGTGAAACTTAAACTGAAGTTATTAATTCTATAATGGTGAGTTACTTGATGGCATGGGGCTCAGAGAAAGGGTATGGGAAGTTCAAACGCCATTATCAGTGCTAGGAATCTATTTTTGTTTCAGAATCCCCCCCCCCCCCCCCTCCCACACACACACACACACAGTCCTTTGCATTGGACTTGGTTCAGTCTCATTCAAGTGCCGTGTTTCATAGAAAAGAGGTTGAGACTTCACTTGAGGATACCATTAACCATCACAACTTCTGTCTTCTGCCTCCCAGGGAGCAGTGATTATTAAGTACTTTAATTTTCTCACATGAGGGGGACAGTGAGCGCAGACGTGTCATTGGCACTGTTAGTGTGATGCTTACGGTAGCAGTGTGACTAATGACCCACCGTGACTAATGACCTCACTCTTCCTCTTCGATGCTTCTCTTGAGGGCTGATTCCTTACCATTTCCCCCAGCTTCTGTACAGGATGGGGGCACCAATCAGCTGTTATTAAAATAGATATCCTGCTACTAAACCGCTTCAGAGGGTGGGTTAAATAGACAAGTGCAGAGCACCAGGGTGTTAGCATAAATGCCATGAGCAAAGACGATGTCTGCGCCTCGTTCTTGGTGTGGTTCGAGGCCATGTTGGAAGTGCCCATAAACAGGGTTCGGGGTAAGAGTGGTGTTCAAAGGAGGGTTATGTGACATGCTGACGGAATCATAGTCTTGAGCTGGAGAGGTTCTAAAATGATTCCTTAGCTTTACCAGTGAAGAAAGTGAGGCTTAGAGAAGTAAAACCACTTTTCTGAAGTCCCGCTGCTGGTCTGTGGCATGGTGCCTCCTGTGGCAGGACAGTAGAACAGCAGTGGTTCATAAGGTATGTAACATGGCACTGGGCTAGTGGCTCAGTTGAGCATTGTCCCGTGCGCCAAAAGGTCACTGGTTTGATTCCTGGTCAGGGCACAACCCCAGGATTCGAGTTTTGATCCCTAGTTGGGGGGCAACCGGTTGATGTTTCTCTTTCATATCAGTGTTCCTCTCTCTTTCCCCCCTTCTCTCTCCTAAAATCAATAAAAACATTTTTTAAATGAAGTATGTAATATTAATACAAAACATGCAGCATATTGTGTATGTTATAGTTATATATTTTATAGTTCTATATTTGCATTATAGATTATAATATGTTTAGTACACTATATACATATTTTATATATACAGTAGCTATCATATACATAGAATATGACACAATAACATATGTAATAGATTGGTCTATAATACTGCAATATGACGGGAGCTCACTGTATGCCAGGCGTGGTGCTAAGAGATCTGTACCTTGAGGGCTTCCATAGTCGGTGTATTTGTTAAGTGAAAGATCAGATGTAGGAAATGGAAACCATAAATGTGAAGGAATTTTTCTCATGAGAAGTGTGGGTGTTGTTTTGGGTGTGGGTGAGAAAAGGGAAGGAAACGTCACTTTGTCATCAGATATTTCCAAATTTAGAACAATATCTGTGCCTCACCGTTGGCTTTAGGATATGCTTTACCCTGGGAACATGCATAAAACACGTTTCCAAGTTTGGCTGTTTCTTTTCCAGCTGCACAGAGGGTGTCACATTATTTAAGATAATAACAATGGCCAGTGGTCACTTGATAATTATTACCTTTTGTCGATTGCTTTTAGGGTACTTGATTTCGGAAGTCACTTCGGAAATACCCAGATGACTGTTTCTGGGGACCTTGTGGGCCACAGTTGAGGAATTTGCCCAGGATGGTTTATCTGTGTGAGTGGGTGAACTTCTTAAAGGGCCAGCCAGTGAATACTAGGCTTTGCAGGACCAAGAGACAAAGTGAAGACTATCATGTAGGCACTTGTATAACCAGCTAAAATGAAACCACTTAAAAACGTGAAAACCATTCTTTGCTTGCCCGGCTATAAACAGGCAGCCTGCACAAACTGCCAGGAGCCTGGAGGCATGTAGGCTGTGGGCGGAGTTTTGCCAGCCCCGCTCTAGAGGTCTTAGTTCAGGAGCTTCTGCTGTCATTACTCTGGAACTCAGAAGCCCGGCACTCATCAGCGACCAAAATATCTTCACATTTTCAGGCCAGAGGAGGACTTGAATATCATCGTCCAGCTGCCTCCTTTTTGTCATTGGGGTTGCTTAGCTGAGCCTTCTGGTTTCTAGTCTAGAAGACATGCCCATTTGGGTCTTTGTCTATAAGCACAGTTCTTATCAATGCACTAGTCGCCTTGTGCACGAAATTCGTGCAAGGGTACGGTCCCCAGGCCTGGCTTGCAATCAGGGCCATCTTTCCTTACTACCCACAGCTGGCCCCACCCCCCCATTGCCCTCACCCCCAGTTCCCCATTCGCCATCGTGTGATCAGAGCCTGATGGCCGGGGGAAGGGACCAAAAGGTTGGCTGTTCCCACCCGCTAGACCCAGCCCTGCCAAGGGTTGCCTTCTGTGTGTGGGGTGACTGGCTGGGCAGAGGCCTTGGCCTGGTGCCACCCGTATGCCCTGCCACCCATACCTGGTTCTCTGTTCACCATCGGGTGATCAGACCCAGCCATCTGGGGAAAGGGACCAAGAAGTGGTCAGTGCACCTCATAGTGACTGGTCGAGCAGTCGTTCTGGTCATTTTGCTGTTAGTGTCAACTTGCATATTACCCTTTTATTATATAGGATGATGAGAAAGTAGATGATGAGGGGCTTGAAGAACCTGGTGCTACTGAATGTAGAGGCCACAAATAATCTTCCTTTACCATTAAATAGGACACTACTAGAAGCTCTACAGTCATTCATTTATTGATAGATGTGTGCTCATTCATTAAAGAAATATTTGTTGAATGGGTCATATGTCAAGGCAGAGGGGGACACCTAATGAAAAATGAAGACATCCTGCCCTCCTAAGTTTACTGTGTGTATATGAACAAGTGGCTGAGCGTTGCCCTATGAACCAGGAGGGTTGCCTGGATTGTGGCCTTGATCCCATAGTGTGGGGCATGCAGGAGGCAGCTGATCAATGATTCTCTCTCATCATGGATGTTTCTATCTCTCCCTCTCCCTTCCTCTCTGAAATCAATAAAAAAAAAAAAGTATATTTTAAAAGAGTATATTTAAAAAAAGAAAAGGTCAGGGAGTAGCAGATGGTGTAGAACCCTGTGGGTAACTGTCGGGTGTGGCGGGAGAGCGGTGGGCTTTGCTGAAGGGTTGCGTGTGGGGCGTGGGAGGAGAAGAGGGTCAGGAATGACTGAGCGGTTCTGGCCTGAGCGGCGGCTGCTCTGACAAGCCGGTGCCAGGGGAGCAGCACGGGGAAGAGCAGGAGCTGTGCTGGTGCAGCCTGGGTTGTGGTGTCCAGCAGAGATCTGGAAGGAGGGGCCAGCAGGCAGGCAGGCATAAGAATGAGGCGTTCAGAGAAGCCAGGTTTTTTGAGTTGTTGACACGTGAGGCTGGACGAGATCACAGAGGAAGTGAGTTAGAGAACAGAAGGGGCCGAGCCTGAGCCCAGGGCACTGCCACATGAGGAGGTGGAGATGAGAGCGGCCCTCCCGTGAGGTAGGAGGGAAAGCAGGAGA